ACTGTGCAGCAGAGTCACTGACTGGACACACTGAGGGTGGATTCTCAGCTCCTACATTCCTTTGGTCTGCATGTGCACAGATGCCCTGATGTCTCCTAATTGTTCCTGTCTTGTTGCATGCTTTGGAATCACAATTCAAGGCTTCTGATTTTGTATTTTTAAGACTAATTTGGCTACTCAAGATCATTTGAGATTTCACATGGATTTTACAGAAGTTTCTATTTGAAAAAACCTGTATTGGAATATTGAGAGTGATTGCATTGAATTTGTAGGTCACTTTGGGTAGAGTGAATATGTCAGTAATGTTTAGACTTCTAATCCAGAAGTATGATACTTCTTTCCACTTATTTGTATTTTCTTTGATTTACTTTAAAGTTTTTTATTACTAAGAGCAAGAATCTTTCACCCATTAGTTAGATTTATTGAACAGTTTTTGATGTGGTAGTAAATGGGATTGTTCTCCTAATTTCCTTTTCTTTTTTCCTTTTCCTTTTTCAGTGGTCATGTTGGTTTAGAGGAGTACAAGTGACTTTTGAGTGTTGATTTTGCATCCTGCAGCTTTGCTAAGTTAATTTGCTCTTTAAACAGTGTTTGTGGTATTTTCAGGGTTTTCTATATATAAATCATGTCAACTACAGACAGATAAAATTTTAATTATTTTTCAATCTGGATGCCTTTACTTTTTATGAAATTGAAGGTAAAACTTTAATGGTTCATGTGTAGTAAATTCAATTCTTTCCTAAATTTATCTTGTTTATAATTTTTTTAACAGTATATAAATTTTTAACACCGAGTTCCTGAAACATTCCTTTGTCATTCCCAAGACCAAGTTAAGGAGAGACTGAAACAACAGAGGCTGGGGTGTCCAGGTGAGTGATATCTTAGGGAAGGGCAAATGGCTCTGCACATGAACAAGCCTTCCTTTACGGAGGCTGAGCCAGTCATTCCCGGAATGCTGGTCACACAATTAAACAGAGAAAAAGCTACTGATGTCACTGCTGCGTAGCTCTCTCTGTACCACCCCCTCCTGTGCAACAGGGGTGTGGAGTAGGGTGCTGTGGGGTGCCCTGGCTCATCCAGCCTCCGCTGCACACTTCAAATTCCCACTGGCAGTTTCCTTGTCCAGCTCACTGCCACTGGAGCTTCTGGTGATTTCCTGCTCAGCCCTCTGCCTTGAGACTTCCTAGCTATAGTCCAGCCTACTGTCACAGGACACTCCTTTTCTGCTGGTAAGCTCTAACTAGACTTGTGCTTTCCTGTTAATACTTTCATAAGTCTCCTCCTGCCCAAGAACCTCCAGGTATTTTCTGTAGTCACTCAGCAACCCACTGTGCTGTCCCAGTGCACAGTCTCTTTCATATATGGAATCCAAAATGTGGAGCTCAGAGAAGCATAAACTGGAATTTTTGTTTTCAAGGGCTGAAATGGGAGGTGAAATAGGGAGATGTGATACAAAAATAATTAATATATAAATCAGTGGACATTACTGAGCTTGCACACCTTCATTTCCTTCTCACGTCTGGAGGATCATGATAGTAGTCCTAGTACCGTACTGAACAGCAGTGGTGAGAGAATGCACCTTTGCTTTATTTCCGATCTTAGACGAACCAATTTCAGTCTTTCCCCATCGAGTTTGGCTTAGCTGTGGATACTTCATGTGCGCTTCTCCTTATGTTGATGTAGTTTTCTTCTATCCCTACTTTGCTGTTTTTAATCAAGAAAGAATGCTAAGTTTGTCAGACATTTCATAATCATATATTTTTATCCTTCATCTTGTTAACTTGAAGTATTGCACTGATTGATCTTCATTGGTTGAACCATCCGTACATTCCATGTACACATTCCACCTGGTTGTAAATAGGTTTTTTTCATTCATTAATTTTATTGGTATATTTTAGGTATACAATATGATAACATTGGGAACTAGTACTTTTACATAATGTACTTTGGTTCTTATTTTTTCCCCATTACCCTGCCCTCCTTTCAACCCCTCTACCCCTCCTTATTTACAAAGAATTTGTTTCCATTTTTTCCT